GGTTAGGTTACGTTACATTACGTTAGGTTAGGTTAGGTAGGGTTAGGTTAGGTTGGTTAGGTTAGGTTAGGTTACGTTAGGTTAGGGTAGGTTAGGTTAGGTTAAGGTAGGTTAGGTTAGGTTAGGTTAGGTTGGTTAGGTTAGGTTAGGTTACGTTAGGTTACGTTAGGTTACGTTAGGTTAGGTTAGTTTTGGTTAGAAAGGCTAGGTTAGGTTAGGTTAGGTTAGGTTGGTTAGGTTAGGTTAGGTTGGTTAGGTAGGGTTAGGTTAGGTTAGGTTAGTTTTGGTTGAGAAAGGTGTCGGGATTTTGGCAACACTGACACCGGCTTAGGTTAGGTTAGGTTAGTTTTGGTTGAGAAAGGCGTCGGGATTTTGGCAACACTGACACCGGCGCATCTCGCAATGGCGCCGGAATCTCGTTCGGATTTTTTTCAAAATTTTCACTTTTCATTCTGCTATTTCTTCCGTGTATATGACCCCCCCCCCTCCTCCAACCTCCCACCTTCAACCCCCAATTCTCCACGGGTCACCCAAGATTGAAGGGGATAGGAGAAAAAATAATGATAACTAATAGGTGCGGCGGTGTCTTACTTAGATTTACCATAATCTCTGTATATATTTCTGCCTTCTCTTCTCTCTCTCATTCTCTTACTCTCTCTTTGTCTGTTTCTGTCTATGTCTCTCTCTCTCTCTCTGTCTCTGTCTCATTCTCTTGCTCTCTCTTTGTCCTGTTTCTGTATGTCTCTCTCTCCCTCCTCCCTCCCTCCTCCTTCCCTCCCTCCCTCTCCTTCTCCTTCTCATTCCCTCTCCCTACCTCCCACCCTCCCTCCCTCCTCCTCCTTGTCTATCTCCCTCCCTTCCTCTCCCTCCCTCCCCCTCCTTCTCCCACCCTCCTTCCTCCTCTCTCTGTACCTCCCTCCCTCCCTCCCTCCCTCCCACCTTCCTTCCCTCTCCTCCTCTCTCTCCCACCCACCCACCCTCCCTCCCCCTCCTTCTCCCTCTCCCTCTCCCCCCCCCCACACAAACCCTGGTCCCTGAGCACTGTGTCCCCTTCAGGTCCTCGTCCCAACGTGGAGAAGGGGACCCAGGGCCTCCTCGTCGTCACGGGGACCAAGATTGAGAAGACCCACGATGACTGGGACGTGAAGCTCGTCAAGGAGTCGGGAAGGAAGGCCACGATCGAAGTAAGTTTGACGCTGTTCAGTGTTTTTTTCAGCTTTAGATTTTTTTTTTTTTTTTTTTTTTTTTTTGGGGGGGGGAAGTTCGCCTAGTGATGTTCCTTTTTTTTAATTTGAATATTTTGAATTTGATTTTGAACTCTCTCTCCCCTTCCCTTCCCTCCCGCAGGTGCAGATTCCCACCGACGCCCCCGTGGGAGTGTGGAAGGTGGCGGCCGAGGTGACCCGAAGGAACCAGCCCGGGGAGAGACACCTGCGCCGGTTCGATACCCACGTGTACATCCTCTTCAACCCTTGGAATGAACGTGAGTGTGTCTTGTAGATCGTAGGGGGGTGTGGGGGTGGGGAGGGGGAGGGGGGGTGTTGGGTAGGGTAGGGAGAGGAGGGGGGAGGGGAGGGTGGGGAAGGATGGAGATGTGGGGGTGTGTAGGTAGGTGGGTGGAGAGGTGGGGTGTGTAGGTGGGGAAGGGATGGAGATGTGGGAGTGTGTAGGGTAGAGTGGGTGGAGAGGTGGGTGTGTGTAGGTTAGGTAGGGTAAGGGAGGGTAAGAGGGGGAGGGGGTGAACCCTTGGAATGAACGTGAGTGTGTCTTGTAGATCGTAGGGGGGGTGTGGGGTAGGGAAGGGACGGAGGGTAGGGTAGGATGAGGCGAGGGAGGGGGGAAGGAGGGGAGGGGTGTAGGGTAGGGTAGGGAAGGGACGGAGGTAGGGTAGGATGAGGGCGAGGAGGGAGACGGAGAGATGGTGAGGGGGGAGGGTGGGGAAGGGACGGAAGGTAGGGTAGGATGAGGGCGAGGGAGGGAGACGGAGAGGATGGTGAGGGGGGAGGGGAGGGTGGGGTGACGGAGGGGAGGGCGGGGTAACAGCGGGTAGGGTGGGTTGACGCTGACATGTTATATCCTCGCGGTTGGATGAACCCGTTGAGGTGAGAGGCACTTCTTGTCACTTCCAGTCAAAAATAATTGACCGAGAGATGATAACCTGTGCTGATATAGTCTTCCCGAAGTTCATCAGAGACATGGCCATGTTATTTATTATTATTTATTTATTTTATTTATCTATTTATTTATTATTATTATTACTTTTTTTTTTTTTTTTTTTTTTTACAGACAAAGCCCTGAGATATGTAGGTATAGGAATAACCGATTAATGATAGTTATATTTCTTCCTTTTGTCATCTTATACGAGATTTCTTTCCTCTAGATGACGGCACATATCTCCCTGAGGAGAAGATGCGCGAGGAGTATGTTCTCGCTGCAGTTGGGAAGGTAAGACACTTTCGTAAATTGTCTGATGATATTATGATCATTATCTATCATTTTGCAGTTGCTGGAATATTGATTTTATCACCAAGCAAGTCTTTTCTGTCCCTGTAGAAATCGTAATGAATTTTATTGAGTAGAATAAGTAGTTGAAATTGATGGATATATCAGTCAACTAACAATATAACACTGATGAACAAATAAACAAAACGAAAACAAAGCATATGTAACCCTATAAATTAATAACCAAACACGTAATTGAAATCGACAGATATGTCATTCAACCGACAATAACAGCAACAGCAAATCACTGATTGACAAATATACAAACAAAAACAAAGCACAAGTAACCCTATGAATTAATAACCAAACACGTAATGAAATCGACAGATATGTCATTCAACGACAATAACAGCAACAGCAAATCACTGATTGACATATACAAACAAAAACAAAGCACAAGTAACCCTATGAATTAATAACCAAACACGTAATTGACATCGACAGATAAGTCAGTCAACCGATAAAAAAACACTGATTAACAACAACAAAAACAAACAAACAAAAACAAACAAGCAAAAACAACAACAACAAACAAGCAGAAACAAAAACAAAAAAAAACAAAAAAAAAACAAAGCACAAGTAAACCCAACAAGCTCCAAAACCAATCGACAAAGCATCTGGCCCAAATAACACCCCTTCCCCACCCACCCCTCTCTCGCCTCCTTCTGCAGGTGTTTGTGGGCAGTTACCCTCACACCCGCGGCCGCCACTGGGCCTTCGGGCAGTTCGACGACGCGGTCCTCCCGGCGTGTATGCTGCTGCTGGAGAAGTCAGGCGTCTTGGCCGAGGCGCGCGGAGACCCCGTGCGAGTGTCCAGGGCCCTCTCCAAGATGGTATGTGGAGAGAGAATTTTCTCTTTCTTCTTTTAAATGCGACCAGTTCATTAACTTTTTTCTGTAACTTCTTGTGGGAGAAGAGATGCGATGAGTATATATATTTTTTTTTTTTTTTTTTTTTTTGGGGGGGGGTATTTTAGCTAGTGACTGACAATCTTTCATCGGCCCCGGGAAAGAATAAACAGTAAATCTTAAGCTAGTAATTCTCAATCAATCAGTATATATATTATATATATATATATATATATATATATATATAATATATATATATATATATAATATGTATGTATATGTGTGTGTGTACATACACAGAAATATATATAATATATATATATATATATATATATATATTATATATATATATATATATACATATATATGTGTGTATACATATACATATATTTTTCTTATTTCCACCAACATGCCCAAAGCTACCAAAACCGCCCCCAATCATCTCGACCCCTCCCCACCCGCCAACCACCACCTCACCCCACCCGCTCCTCCCAACCTCCATCCCCTTCCGTCCACACAACCCTTCCAACCGGCTTCTCCCTTTCCCGCAGGTGAACAGCAACGACGACGCTGGCCTCCTCGTGGGGAAGTGGGACGGCGAGTACGAGGACGGGAGAGCGCCCGCTAAGTGGCTCGGTTCCATCGAGATCATGGAGACTTACCTCAGGACGCGTCAGTCGGTCAAATACGGCCAGTGCTGGGTGTTCGCCGCCTGTCTCAACACCAGTAAGTAGGGGGCGACTGAGGACCTTGTTGCATGTGGTGTGTAGTTGCTTTTGTAGTTATTTTTCTAAGAAGGGCGTGATGTTTCCGTGGGATAGGGGCTTTTCTATGAAAAAAGTGTGAATGAGGATGAAATGATTCCGTGGGATAGGATCTTTTCAAAAAAAAAAAAAAAAAAAAAGTGTGAATGAGAATAACATAACAGTAGCTATTTTATAAAGAAAGAAATTCGAATGAAAAAGAATAATCCATACAACCCAACATACCGTATATTTGACTGGTTGTAACTGTTTATTTTCCCCTTCCTGTCCTCAGTCTGTCGAGCTCTGGGTATACCTTGCCGTGTCGTGACCAATTTCGCCTCTGCACACGACACCAACGTCTCTCTCTCCATCGACGAGTACTTCGACGAGGACGGCGACCAGATCGAGTAAGTGTGGCTTTTAATGCTAAAGAAAGAGAGAAAGAAGGAAGGAAGGAAGAAAGTAGGAAGGAAAGGAAGAAAGAAAGGTCACTGAATCATCAACATTCATTTTACCCCCTCTGAAACCTACAAAATCTCTAATTATAAATAGATTTCAGAACAGAGATTAATCCCGCCAGAATACCTTTCATCCTTCCCGTTTTCTGTCACCTTTCCCGTTTTCCATTCCATTCTTCCGTTTTCTATCACGCTTCCCATTTTCCATTTCATTCTTCCCGTTTTCTATCACGTTTCCCATTTTCCATTCCATTCTTCCCGTTTTCTGTCACGCTTCCCATTTTCCATTCCATTCTTCCCGTTTTCTGTCACGCTTCCCATTTTCCACTTCATTCTTCCCGTTTTCTGTCACGTTTCCCATTTTCCATCCAGAGCGAACGACCGTTACGTCAACCCAGCTGGCATCCGAGACTCCATTTGGAACTTCCACGTTTGGAATGACGTGT